TTTTTCCAGGAATTTTGGGAATTCCCACCTGCAGTTTCCTGGCCATGGCCACCACGTCGTGATCTGGGAGGTCACATTTCCCATTTTTTCCCTTTTTTTTGGCATTTTTCCCATTTTTTCTCCGATTTTTTCGGGGTTTTTTTTATTTTTCCCAAATTTTTTCCCAGAATTCTCATTTTTCCAGGAATTTTGGGAATTCCCACCTGCAGTTTCCTGGCCATGGCCACCACGTCGTGGTCGGGGGGGTTGTATTTGTAGCAGTTGGAAAACATCAACCGCACGTCGGCGGCGAATTCCTGCGCGTCCCGGTAATCCCGGTTTTCCATCTTCCTCTGCAAAGAAAATTCCAATTAAAATTCATTCCAAAAACTCTCAAAATATTGGGAAATCACCCAAAAAAATCCCGGGGAAATTTGGTGAAAGTTTGGGAAAATTTGGAGAAAATTCGGGGGAAATTCGGTGAAAAAAATCAGGAAAATACACAAAAAAATTGGAGAAAAATTCGAAAAAAAATTCCAGAAAAATTCCCCCAAAAAATTCCAAAAAATTCTCAAAAAATTCCTAAAAAATCTTCACTTTGATGACGCTGAAATCCATGAAAAAGAATTCCTAAGAAATCCCATAAAAATTATTGGATATTGGATACACTGTGCCCCTTCTGGGACACCTAAAAAACCGCGGGAAAAATCATAAAAATTCCTGAAAAAATCCAAAAAAATTCCGGAAAAATTCCCCAAAAATTCCTAAAAATCCTCACCTTGATGATGCTGAAATCCATGAGAAAAAAATTCCCAAAAATTTAGGAATTAATGACTTAATGACTTTAATACACATGGGATGATGAATACCTTGAGACCCTTCCCAAACGCTTAAAAACCGCGGGAAAATTCTTAAAAAATCCGTAAAAATTCCAAAAAAATTCCAAAAAATTCCCAAAAAATTCCCCAAAATCCTCATTTTCCTAATATTAATAGACGTGGGATATTTAATGCATTGAGCCCCTTTTCGAGTACTCAAAAATCCATAAAAAATCAGGAAAAATGCGTAAAAAAGACGTAAAAAACGCGTAAAAAATCGAAAAAAAATCGTAAAAAATGCAAAAAAAATCATAAAAATTCCAAAAAAATTCCAAAAAATCAGGAAAAATTCCTGAATTTTCTTACCTTGATGGTGCTGAGATCCATGGGATGTTTGATGATCTCATGATAATCGTGCAGCCCCAAAGCCGACGCGTCCACGGGTTTGTAGAAGGGCCACGCGTACGCCGCGTGTTTTTTCGACAGCAATTCCTTCAGGATCCCGTTGCAATATTTCAGCTGCTCGGAAAGTTTCCCTTTTTTGGAAGTTTGGTGCTGTTGGGAATCCGGGAGATCTTTCCTGGGGGGTTTGATGGGGCGGCCGCTTTCGCGTCGCGTTGGGATTTTGGAAGGTTTGGGATTTTCCAAAGGGGAGGATTCTCCTCCTCCTCCTCCTCCTCCTCCTCCTCCTCCTCCTCCCGTGCTGGTGGCGATGATGGCGGTGGTGGTCGGGGTGGTGGTGTCGGCTTTTCGTTTCACGCCCTTTTTCTGGGGGAAAAAAATGAAAAAAAATTGGGAAAAAATTCAGGGAGTTTAGGGTGAAAATTGTTATTTTGAAGTGCTGCGTTTGTCACGGAAATTTGAAGGCGTTTGTAGGGTCAAAATCCCATTCCGGGACACAAAAATCCCATTTCGGAACCCAAATCCCATTCCAAAATCTGAAAATCCCATTCTAAAATCTCCTTCCGTGGTCCAAAATTCCATTTCAGGATCAGAAATTCCACTTCAGGATCAAAAATGCTATTCCAGGATCCCATTCCAGAACCCAAAATTCTATTTCATAATCCTAAATTCCATTCTGGAATCAAAAATCCCATTCTAAAATCTCCTTCCATCGTCCAAAATTCCATTTCAAGATCCAAAATCCCATTCCAGAATCCAAAAATCCATTACAGGATACAAAATCCCATTCCAGGATCCAAAAATCCCATTCTGGAATCCAAAATCCCAATCCAGGATCCAAAAATCCCATTCCGAGATCCTAAATTCCATTCCAGGATCCAAAATTGCATTTTGGGACCAAAACTCCCATTCCAGGACCTAAAAATCCCATTCCAGGATCCAAAACCCCAATCCAGGATCCCATTCTGGGATCCAAAATCCCATTCCAGATCCAAAATCCCCTTCTGGAATCCAAAATCCATTCCAGGACTAAAAAATCCCATTCCAAAATCCCATTCCAGGATCCAAAAATCCCATTCCGGGATTCTAAATCCCAATTCAGGATCCAAAATCCCATTCCAGAACCCAAAATTCCATTCCAGAACCCAAAACCCCAAAACCCCAACGCCATTGGCGATGATGGCGGTGGTGGTCGGGGTGGTGGTGTCGGCTTTTCGTTTCACGCCCTTTTTCTGGAAAAAAAATTGGGATTTTAGGGTGAAAATTCGCATTTTAATGTGTTGGATGCGTCCTGAAAATTTGAAGGTGTCAGTAGGGTAAAAAAATGCCATTTCGGGACCCAAAAATCCCATTCTGGAACCCAAATCCCATTCCAAAATCCAAAAATCCCATTCCAAAATCACCAAAATTCCATTTCAGGATCCAAAATCCCAATTCAGGATCAAAAATCCCATTCCAGGACCCAAAATCCCATTCCAGGACCCAAAAATCCCATTCCAGGACCCAAAATCCCATTCCAGGATGCAAAATCCCATTCCAGAATCCAAAATTCCATTCCGGGATCCAAAATCCCATTCCAGAATCCCATTCCGGGATCCAAAATCCCATTCCAGGACCCCATTCCAGAATCCAAAATTCCATTCCAGGATCCAAAATCCCATTCCAGGACCCCATTCCAGAATCCAAAATTCCATTTCAGGTTCCAGAATCCCAATCCAGGATCCAAAATCCCAATCCAGGACCCCATTCCAGAATCCAAAATTCCATTCCAGAATCCAAAATCCCATTCCAGGATGCAAAATTCTATTCCAGGATCCAAAAATCCCATTCCAGGACCCCATTCCAGAATCCAAAATTCCATTCCAGGATCCAGAATTCCATTTCAGAATCAAAACTCCCATTCTACGACCAAAAATCCCATTCCGGGATCCAAAAATCCCATTAAAGACTCCCAAAATCCCATTAAAGACTCCCAAAATCCCATTCCAGGACCCAAAATTCCATTCCAGGACCCAAAAATTCCATTCCAAAATCTCATTTCAGGACCCAAAAATCTGCAAATCCCATTCCAGATCCCTAAATCCCATTCCAGGACCCAAAATCCCATTCCAGGACCCAAAATCCCATTCCAGGACCCAAAATCCCATTCCAGGACCCAAAATCCCATTCCAGGACCCAAAATCCCATTCCAGGACCCAAAATCCCATTCCAGGTCCCAAAATCCCATTCCAGGATCCAAAAATCCATTCCAGAATCCCATTCCAGGACCCAAAATCCCATTCCAGGACCCAAAATCCCATTCCAGGACCCAAAATCCCATTCCAGGACCCAAAATCCCATTCCAGGTCCCAAAATCCCATTCCAGGATCCAAAAATCCATTCCAGGATCCAAAAATTCCAATCCAGGATCAAAAATTCCAATCCAGGATCCAAAAATCCCATTCCAAAACCCCATTCCAGAACCCAAAATTCCATTCCAGGACCCAAAACCCCAAAAACCCCAACGCCATTGGCGATGATGGCGGTGGTGGTCGGGGTGGTGGTGTCGGCTTTTCGTTTCACGCCCTTTTTCTGGGGAAAAAATTGGGATTTTAGGGTGAAAATTCGTATTTTAATGTGTTGGATGCGTCCTGAAAATTTGAAGGTGTCAGTAGGGTAAAAAAATGCCATTTCGGGACCCAAAAATCCCATTTGGGAACCCAAATCCCATTCCAAAATCCAAAAATCCCATTCTAAAATCTCCAAAATTCCATTTCAGGATCCAAAATCCCAATTCAGGATCAAAAATCCCATTCCGGGATCCAAAACTCCCATTCCACGACCAAAAATCCCATTCTGGGATCCAAAATTCCATTCCAGGATCCTAAATCCCATTTCAGGACCCAAAATTCCGAGCCAGGACCCAAAAATCCCATTCCGGGACCCAAAAATCCTATTTCAGAATCCAAAATCCCATTCCAGGACCCAAAAACCCCAATTCAAAATCCAAAATTCTATTCCAGGACCCAAAAATCCCAATTCAGAATCCAAAATTCCATTCCAGCATCCAAAATTCCATTCCAGGATCCAAAATTCCATTCCAGGATCCAAAAATCCCATTCCAGGACCCGATTCCAGGATCCCAAATTCCATTCCAGACACCTAAAATTCCATTCCAGGACCCAAAATCCCATTCCAGGATTCAAAATCCCATTTTGGAATCAAAAACCCCATTCCAGGATCCCCATTCCAGAATGCAAAATTCCATTTCAGAATCCTAAATTCCATTCTGGAATCCAAAATCTCATTTTGGAATCAAAAGTCCCATTCTAAAATCTCCTTCCGTGGTCCAAAATTCCATTTCAGGATCCTAAATCCCATTCAGAATCCAAAATTCCATTCCAGGACCCAAAAATCCCAATTAAGAATCCAAAATTCTATTCCAGAACCCAAAATTCCATTTCAGGACCCAAAAATCCCAATTCAGAATCCAAAATTCTATTCCAGGACCCAAAATTCCATT